CATATTCATAACTATCATAATTCTTTTTGTGGGTTTGTTTCGCTTGTGGAACTGAGTACCGCATTAACTGTTGACTGATGAGCGTCCGTGATGCTTTAGCAGGCTTTGAGCAGTATACTAAAATTTAGGCCTTACTTTTCAGATTAGCGAATCATTCTACACCTTTGGAATCATTATATTCTAAAAAATTTATGTTCTACTTTGAATGTAAATATTTCAGTATTTGTAAAAAGCTTTGAAATCCCCCAATGGCAAGCTGATTTGTCCTGGATTGCAGTGGGAAGGCTATACTAATACAGTACTATTTTGAGATTTTTATGAAAAGAAGTTTTTCTTAGGGATAGAATAGAATAGAATTCCGAAAAGGGTGAGACATGGTGGAAAAGGGAAATAAATGTTAAATGCCTAATTCATACCCATTGCACAATGTCCGAGTAGTTTTTCTTTTCTTTTTTATTTTTTCCTCCTAAAGGTTTGTGTATCTAGTTTCTACCGGTGAAAGTATAATACATTGAGGCGTGTCCCTCAAATTGCCTTAAATGGCAACAACAGAAAAATAATGTGTCTTTAATTGATATCGATAATCTTTATCTTACTAATCTTGTGACCGCAGCTCGTTCATTTGTATATGCTCAGAGAGCTAAATGCTTTGATCCGTAAAAGAATAGGGGGAAAAAAAATCTTCACATTTGGATTTGCTCTTCCTTTTCTATCTCTTGTAGATGGTTGCTGCATTTGCACTATTTCTTTCTTTTATATCTTATCTGTAGTTCACTAGTTTGCGATTAGTTTGATATGGTCACTTTTCTCAGTCATTTCAAGATGGAAAATCCTTTTTCTTTCTTTTTTTTGGTCTTGAATGATCAAGAACTCTCCAAGATCCTTCTTCATTTGTAGTCATTTCCCCCCTTGCAGATGCTTTTGTTGGAGCCAACATTGGGACTGATGTCTCTGATATGCCAAATCCAACACAGATTGTAACCTTGCTCAAGTCTCAGAACATCCAACATGTCAGGCTCTATGATGCTGACCGAGCCATGCTCCTTGCATTTGCCAACACAGGAATCCGAGTAACTGTTTCTGTCCCCAATGACCAGATCCTTGGCATCGGTCAGTCCAATGCCACTGCAGCCAACTGGGTTACTCGTAATGTCATAGCTCACTATCCTTCAACCAACATAACTGCCATAGCTGTAGGATCAGAAGTCCTAACTACCCTCCCAAATGCAGCTCCTGTCTTAGTGTCTGCCCTTAAATTCATTCACTCCGCCCTCGTTGCTGCTAATGTTGACCAACAAATTAAGGTCTCTACTCCTCACTCGTCTTCCATCATCATTGACTCCTTCCCTCCTTCTCAGGCATTTTTCAACCACACTTGGAATCCGGTCTTAGTTCCCTTGCTTAAGTTTTTGCAATCTACAAATTCATATTTCATGCTTAATGTATACCCTTATTATGATTATATGCAATCAAAAGGCATAATCCCACTTGATTACGCACTATTTCGCCCTTTGCCTCCAAACAAGGAAGCTGTTGATGCCAATACCCTCCTGCATTATACTAATGTGTTTGATGCTGTGGTGGATGCTGCATATTTTGCTATGTCCTATTTGAACTTCACCAATATCCCCATTGTGGTGACTGAATCAGGATGGCCTTCAAGAGGTGATTCCTCCGAGCCAGATGCCACAATTGACAATGCCAATACTTTCAACAGCAACTTGATCAGGCATGTCCTTAACAATACAGGCACTCCTAAACATCCAAATATTGCCGTTAGTACTTTTATCTATGAGCTGTTTAATGAAGACTTGAGACCAGGTCCAGTGTCTGAGAGGAACTGGGGTTTATTTTACGCTGATGGTGCACCGGTTTACACATTACACTTGACTGGTGCTGGTGCTGTGCTGGCCAATGATACTACAAATCAGACCTTTTGTGTTGCCAAGAATGATGCTGACCCTAAGAGGCTTCAGGCAGCACTTGATTGGGCCTGTGGGCCAGGGAAGGTGGATTGTTCTTCTTTGCTAGAGGGCCAACCATGTTATGAACCGAATAATGTGGTAGCGCATGCAACATATGCATTCAATTCATATTATCAGATGATGGCTAAGTCTACTGGGACCTGTGATTTCAAAGGTGTTGCCAGCGTCACCACTACGAACCCAAGTATGTGTGCTATCCATTTATGTACTTTTACATGTGAATACTTAAGTAGATTGCTACAAAAAGTGTGCATATTTTGAGGGAAATTAACATATCGCCAAATAGACAAGGGAAGATGGATGTTTGCACACAATAATCAGAGTTTGAATGACTTACTACAAGTATGGTGAGCTCTGATAAAATTCAATTTTGGGTTTAAAAAATGATCATTTTGACTAGTGTGGTAATGGTGGTGATTGAAATATTACTTTTTAACAGTTAATTTTGCCAGAAAATGAAAAAGGGGTCTTAAAATTATAGATTTCCTCGGGGACATTTTTGTTTGATTAAAACTAATTATGCATCAAAGCATGCTTTGCATGTGAAGTTTTCGAATTTCAATTTTTACTTACCAGTTGACTTTTTGAAAGAGTCTGTTGAAACACCATGTTATGTTCTGGCCATTTTTGATGGTCAAAATTCTTATTTCATCTGCTACAATTAGTAGCTTATCAATTTTATACGCTAAAGATCTTTTCCCTGCGTTAGTACCTGAAAGCATGATTCATTTCAATATAGGCCTTCCAGGTACTAAATTGGTAGAATAAAATTTTTCTGTGATATAATATATTGTGGGGTTAAAATAAAATCATACTCTTTCACCAAAAAAAAAAAGCATACTCAACCTAAAAAAATACAGTGTACAGAATAAAATGACATCACCATTGAATGCCAAAATTTGGTTTATGTTTAATAATTTGTGTTTGTTCATCTTTTGCTTTTTATTAGCAATATTATTATGTTTACTCACTTTAGTTACATATAAAAGAAAGTATTGCATCAGTAGTCAAATTCAAATTGATTGAAATGAATATTATGTATCTAACATGCTATCATTGGTACAGGTCATGGTTCTTGTATATTTCCTGGAAGGTATGATATCTACTCTCTAGCTTCTTGACAACTGCTTTTCTTGTTTAGTTGTTTAAAAATTGCCAGGTGTTGTAGCAATTTCATGTTTTTAATTCTAGTCTTCAACGCAAAAAGCCTTGAAACATGTATGCTGAGCTATTCTTCTCTTCTTCTTAATACTTCTGGGAACAACAGTGACGGTAAAAACAGCACGAGCATAAATGGCACATCTCTGGCTCCATCGTCTAATATGACAGATTCAGGTTGCTTGTCGCAATACTATTACAAGGATGTTTCATCTTCAAGCTTTGTGATTATAATAGGTCTTTTACATCTGAGTGCACTTGTCTTGTAACGAGGCTCATTCTGGACTATAATTTTATGGAGGCATGCTCTTAAAGGGCCTTCTGTTTAGATTTGCTGGCAAACCCAGTTTTGTGTTCATCAGGTAGAGGGTTTGTTTGTGAATGACAAATGTTCACTAAAATGTATATTGACAATTGTATTATGCGTTGTCCATTGGAATTTGTACAAACAAACCCAAGGATTTATTTGACGAGTTTGTATTCTTTGATCTTAAATCGCCCTCTCCGGCATCCATTGGACGAAATGACCTTGGTATGATCTCAATTCTATTAGAATGTCTCTTTCATGACGCTGTGTGGATGTTATAACAAAGGGTCCGTTTGGATTTCAGTTGGGTATAATAGATTATGAAAATAATTGATTAAGTGGTAGATTTTAATCATAATTGATTATGTTATAACGTAATTTGTTTGGATACTGTTTTTTTAAAATTGATTTTAACATAATTGAATATATTTGGATAATTTAATCAAAATTAATTTTTACCTATATAAATTACTATATAATTTAATTTTTAAATATCAAATATTAATTTTTTAAATAGACAAAGTTTAAATTTTATTAAGGAAAAAAAAAGAAAAAAAAGAGAGTTTAATTTATTTTTATTAAATTATGTGTTTTTTTTGTAATTTTTTCCTGGGCTTGTTTTTGTAATTTTCCCCAACATTTTTTACAAGCGTTTATCAAAAGCTGATCGAAGTAGCTTACGGTAAAACGCGCGTATGAGGTCAAAATCGATTTTCACCTTTTCTGACCGTTTGGCTAATTTACTGAAATAATCGATTTTGAAGGGTGAAAATCGATTTTTTTCCCTATCCAAACACACTCAAAGTCTCTAACTCAACGTAAACTTTGTTTAATCTTGTGGTTTAGGCTCCATTGATATGGGCAAGGGAATAAGATTCTCATTATTTTATTATTTTACGATATATATATATATATATATATAAAATATAATGTTTTGTAATTATTGCTTAATATTTTTTATTTTTTTATGTAAGGATCATAATTTGTTATCATTAAAATAATACCATGTCATTTCTTTTCTACAGTATCATCTATCTTACATGCATTCATGCTAAAGTCTGTCTCGCCAATGAACAAGTTCGATGGAAGCGCATTGATGTAAAACGGAAGGGGAGAAGGGGAAGAGAGATAAGAGAAAGGGGGAAGAAAAGAAAGAAAGGGGAGGTTGAAACTCTCATAATCTTTATTTAATAACATTTAAAGTAGAATATAAGTGAAAATTTTAACTTTATTTATAGAGTTTTAAAAATAATAACATAATAATAATTTAAATTCAAATTTTAAATTCTAAATCTAAATATAATTTTAAAAGTATTGATATTTAAAATAAAAATAAAATAAATAATAAATCTTAATTTTAATGGATAAAATTTTTATTCAAATATTTTTAATGAATAATCTTAATATTTTAAATAAACTCTAATTATTCAAATTACCTATCATCCCATATTCCATCACATATGTTGAGAGAAATAATTTCTTATTGCGGTTGTGATTAAAATTTATAGTACTAGTTATAGACATTCAATGCCTCAGGGCAAGATATACTGTTAAAGCTCCATGAAAAAAATCAATTATTAATATATCTATGAAAGTTGTACTATAGTTTATCCCGAGTTCTAAGCTCTATATAAATTCAGAGACTTGCGCTAGTCTGTATATAGTTAATCACAAAACATCAGAACTTTGACATGTATTTACGATATCACAGACTCTGCAGATGAGTCCAGATTCTGAGAAATTGCACCACCAATCTATGTGCTGCTTACAGTAGGGCTTGTTGCAGAAATTGCACTTGGGAAGCTTTAGCCAACATTCACAACACACTACATCTGCACAAGCAGTCTCTTCTGTTTCTTCATAGCCAAGGCATTCCCCACAATTTTCACACCTTGGGATGCAAAATTTGCATGCCTTGCAACGAGCCAAATTCACTTCTCTCTTCTTGCAGGTTTCTCTGGGACAATCATAGACCATTCTCACCTCACAGCACATTGGACAGATTTCCAAATCGATGATTCTCCTGGTTTCCTCTTCTTCTCTGTTCTTAAAAGCCAAGAAGTTTCCGCGTTCATGGTAGAAGATAGGCTCCCATGGAAGGTTCCTTTTAAGGGAAAGGACAAGCATGTCAATGTGCTCTTTCTTTAGGTTGTGGATTCCATTTATCCTTAGTGTGCTCAGGGAGTTGCTTCCTTGGGACAGCATTTTAACTGCTTTTACAAGTCCTTCAGGGGTTATACCAGTGCATGATGGAAGATAGAGCTACAAGCCAATAAAACATAGAATTCAAACTCCAAAATCATAAACTTGAAGGGAGGGTGTTGGGGAACTAGCTTAGTTGAAATCGTCCACCGCAAAACGTGAAAATGTTTCAATGATATATTTTCTTCCTTTACATTTCTCTCATCCTAACATACTTTAGGCTATGCTAGTAGTAGTCAAGATTTTCAAGAACTAGAGAGTGAGTGCTGGTCAAAATGCTTATAATAGGCATGAACGAAAGGTATGACAAACTTTATTCCCTTTCTATAAATTTTATGCCCCTACTTCTAAGTCTAAATTCCTATGCTTAACGGCTAAAATGCAAAGAGCCGAAGACAAAGATTTCTCTATTAAGGTGACATGTTGATATCACACACAGAATATGCAATTAAGAATTGGTATCTCTGTGCACCCAATTAGACAAAACATGCTATGGATAATCTATCCCCACTCATATCATGTTTCTTCTGTTTCTTTCTCCAGCTTTTAATGGGGTCCTCATTTGACATAGTAATGCCACTGCCCGCTGATTCAGACAAGAAAATCATCATATGAGATAAGAAAAAGACTATGCAAAATCATTGAATTATTAGTTAAGTGAAGAAATCTGTCTTCCCTTTGGCAGCAAAAGAATTTCATTTCTAATTATGTCAACTGTCTTTAAGTTTTCAACTGACTCAATAACCTACATAACAAAAGAAAGCTTATCCATTCAATTCCGCTCCCAGAAACCTAATTCAACACTTCAAGTTTAATTGCAGAAAAAGGAAGCGAACACCAAAAATTGCATATTCAAACCTTGTTTATAAAAGGGTTTTCTTCTACAACCCTTTGAAGCCCATAATCTGAAATCTTGGTGCAGTTCACGAGAGCAAGAGTTCTGAGGCCACCATTAGCCTTAGAAGCAAGTCTGAGCAAAATCTGATCGGAGAGATTGGAACTGAGAGGGGGTTGAACAAGGAAGTTGCGCCATGGTAGAACATCCTTGTTCACTGCGTCTCTCAGTGAAATGCAAACCTGCGACATGGCGAGAAGCTCCCCCACAGAAAGATAAGGTAGTACGTGAAACAGAGCCTCGTGAGGAGGCTCTGCTTTTTCTTGCGAAATTGTGAGGCCGAGACATGAGTACGAGGAGGAGGAGGAGGACAGCTTTGAAGCCTCCTCCATGGTTTTATTTTCTTTATTATCCCTCAAAATGCAAACTTTCCCATATCTCGTTAAGTAGGTCACCCCATCCCCTCCCCGGGGGTTTATCAAGGTGAGGAATTTCAAGATTGAGGATGCAAATGTGTGGTTCCAATCTAATTGGGCGACATTAAATAGATTCTTAAGTTGAGTATTAAACCCTAAGACAAAGCAGCCAGCGAAAACCATCCAACACAAGAAAGACAAATACACATGACTCGGGTCTGGTGGTGGAGCAGTGGAATGCGTAGATTGATGGAAATAATTTCCAATGATGAAGTTTTGTTGACACTGATTTTCAAGGACAAAAGCTAAGTATTTAAATAATTATAATTAAAATTGTTAAAAAGACATGTTACTTCCTCGTTAAGTTTTGGATGAGTAGTTGGGTTTGATTTGTGATATGAGACGTTGCGGATTCCGCTTTGCTTGTTGATGCTTTGTTGTCACTTGTCATGATGTGAGAGAATTGTAGATTTCATGTGTTTATGTTTATGAAAAATAGGAGTTCTCGAAGAATAGTGAATTAAGATTTTTCTCTCTTGAATTGCGTGCCTTTCAAAATGGGTGAACTGTGTGGCTGGAAAATGCCTCCGGAACAAATTTCTCCTGATGATCGTGTAAAAAAAAAAAAAAAAAAAGAAGGAAGTGAAGGAAGATGTGATCATGTCTGATAAAATGAAAGAAGCAGAAGCTTGTGTAGATCCAGAGCAGCAAATGGAAAACACGAAGAGTTCGACTGAGTGTTTCAAGCAACCTTCTTACAAGGATTCTCTGTTAGGATTCAAAGGTACTGATTTTAATGGCATTGCTTACGGAAGCTTAGCTTTGGATGATGATCCTCTGACCTCAAACCTACTTGACCAAAGGTGGGAAATACTAGAACCTTTAGAGGAAATTAAAAAGCTGATGCAGGTTTACCCAGTCTCCCTGTTTCACACGAGGAGTTCAACGAATGGTGTAAACCCTGAAATAATGCTCTGGTCATCACGGTTCTAGGAGCACAATTCATCCTACACAAACTTAAGGAGTTGTTGAGCAGAATATGGCAGCTGAAAGAGTTTGAACTCATAGGCCTCCCAAACAACTACTATGTGGTAAGATTTACACATGAGAATAACTGGGCAGTCATTATAAAAAGTTTTGTTTGAAGGACCTTGGACAATAGCACAACATTATGCGCTTGTTCAACAATGGACACCGCATTTTGACCCTTTCCACAATCCTTTGGGAAGAATCACGGCCTTAGTTCGCATTCCTAACATTCCTATGCTCTATTACACCAAGAGATTTATATGGAGACTAGGTGATATGATTGGTAGAACCATAAAAGTGGATATGAACACAATTGCTAATGTGGATACCTCAAGAGCTAAAGTTGAAAGGGGGAGATACGCAAGGATTTGCAAAAGAAATTAGTTCCCCGAATTATTTCAGTTTCTGCTCTTTTTAATATGGAATACAAAGGATTTGGTTTAATATGTTTTTCTTATGGAACATATGGGCACAAAAAAGAAGCATGTCTATGGAAATCTGGAATTTCACCTAGCTAACCCTTGAGTTCGACGGTCTCACAACCTTGTATGTTGTCAGAGAGCAAACTTCCCGGAGAGTCACAAGAGGAGGTACGATCACAAAGGTAGGAACCTAGACTAAGGAAGAAAAGCTGAAGATAGCTGGATTGCTTCAACATACGCTGCCTTTGCAAACTTAAGAGATGAAGATGAAATTCCAAATCAATTAAATCCTAGCACATATAAGGGATAGTTTGACTCTGACACTAAGGAAAAAAATGCTAACAGTGTATACTGAGAAGAGGGAAGTTCATAAAAAAGCTGATCCTATGATAGGATAGAGAAGTAAAAATTAGGGAACAGATGCAGTGAAAGGAAAAGTGGTACATGTAGCAAGAGGCAAGGAAAATACAAGGCCCAACTCTTTACGCTCGACTAATAAGGCTATTGCAAAAAATACTATGAAAATTGAGTCTGTTAATGGATCTAATTCCACAAGTACTAAAATTGGACAAGAAAAAAGAGTTGCAGGCCAAAAGGCCTATATGGTGATAAGTGGCTCCCTTGCCTAGAATGAGTGTCAATTACTCAAAGATGATAAGGAATTTCCACTTCTTGCATCTCCATCGCAAAGAGCATCTCCTGGTACACTTATTCCTGATATAGACAACATGAAGCATCTTCTCCCATCTCCTCGCCTACTTGATTGAGACACGCTTAGCAAAGAAAATTCAGAATTTTGTAACCAAAATTCCAGCCTCATCCCGACTGACCGAGGAGGTGCTTCAAGTAAGTAGATGTTAACTGAACCTATATGGAGCCAAGAGCAGAACCTAGGAGTGTAAGTATTCCTCTTTTATCTTTTGTCATTTTTAATGATTACAATTTCTTGGAATTATCGGGGAGCTAGTGGAAAAGCTTTTGAGTATAATTAGAGACTCGGTTAATAAATATAGAGTTGATATCCTATGTTTGGTTGAAACGCGCATTAGTGGGTAGAGAGCAGAGTTTGTTGTTCGCAAATTAAGATTTGATAAGTGGATTAAGATTAAAGCTATAGGTCTTGCAGGGGGAATTTAGGTTCTCTGGTGAAGTTGTGATTTTGATATTGAATATTTGTATTGAAATGCTCAGCTACTTCATTGTAGAATTTCCAACCTTTCCGCCAGTAAATCATTTCTCTCTACTTTTGTGTATGGTGAAACTTCTACCAATAGAAGAAATCTTCTTTGGGATTCAATTCGTAATGTAGCCTCTTAAATCACTGATGATTGGGTTATCTTGGGGGATTTCAACACCTTCCTACTTGCTGATGATAAAATAAGGGTGCCACTCCTTTTTGGTCTTCTCTAACTGCTTTCCAACATTGTATTCGGGACTCTAAACTTCTTGAATTTTCTGTGGTGACAAATCCACTTGGGAAAATTAAAATGTTAAGAAGAGACTAGATTGGTCATTTTGTAACTCTTCTTAGGAACTAAATCATCCTCATAGCAAGGCTCTTTATCTTTTGAGATTCAAATTTGATCACAAGGCAACTGCCATTTTTGACGAACCTGTTAACCAATCTCCAGCACATTTCCCCTCTTCTTTCAAATATCAGGTTGCTTGAAACCTTGAATCTAGTTTTAGGGACTTGATATCTGAAGCCTGGGATAATTGCAATTGGTGTGATGTTGTCGACCATTTTTATAAATCCACCAAATCTTGGAATGAAACTAAGGTTGGCAATATTCCTCATAAGAAAAGGGAGATCATTTGTAAACTTGAAGGTATTGACTGTACTTGTAAGGTCTCCCCTACCTAATCATGTTTATTTCCAAATCATAGTAACTAAGGGATCAACCCTTAAAGGATTACCAAATATTAAAATTTCATAAAAAGGGAATTTCTCAAATTCTTTTTGAAAAGTATCCCAAATTCAACATTTTAAATCTTAAACAATATTTAATAAGCTCAAATCAGAGTTTCGAAAGTAATACGGAAGCTTGAAAATTAATTGAAACCCAAATTTATGAGTTTTAAAACTCAAAACTAATATTTGTGTAGAAAATAACACGTGTGCCACGGCTCGTGATATGTGCACTGCGGCTTGTCTTCTTTGTGCCATGTGTCGCGGTGCATTACACGAATTTGATAGCATTAGTGTTGTCATTTGACAACACAGGGAGCAAACTTCCGACACGTCCCAAAACTCCGTCTGACATCCAATTGAGGTAGTTTAGTGTCTGCACGGAGCTTTCTCCTAACTCTGGCTAATGACACTAATTTCACACTCAAACTTATTTTCTATAAAAAGTTAGACACCAAAACTTATTTTAACCACTTTTTCACAAAATTTCTCACATGGGTGTCCTAACTCAACCACACGTGCCAAATAGCTCATACTTACCATCCGACCACACTCAATAGACTCTAATGAACCCGTGCAATGCACCACACACAATCAGAAACATGTTTATCATAAAATCACCACTCAACCTTAATTTTCTTAAAACACAAAGGGGGAGTAAAAGTCACACAAATTCATCAATTTCATTACAATTCTTTCAAAATACATATGTTTCTACTTGTACAAATATTTTAGCCCTATCTACAGGTTTACAACTAAACTCGTTAACCCAAGGCACAAAATACACCAGTTGCACAAAATAATACAAGTAGTATAAAAATATTAGCATGTGATCCTAGTTGGCAATTACATTAACAAATACATATAGAACAACTAAAAGGAGGCATATACAGGATTACTCCATAATCTTAGGCCTCTGTATGTTTTTCCCGATTCAGATTCGATGAGCTAGGTCTTAAAAATATTAAAAATTGAGGGGTGAGTACAACCACTCAGGAACTAAGTTTCACCTAACCTATACAGTTGCATATCAATTGAAAATAGATAAAATTAGGCAAATACACAGATATTACATATAAACACTTGGCCACGGTTCATAAAACTAACAACCATATAACCAGACCCACAACACACAATATCATGATATTTCACAAAGCACAATATGTGGTCGCAATAATAATAACCATGCACCCTTAACACGTGCCAAACCACAAAACTAACAACCATGTTGTCGGTTTTATATACATGATCATATGCCACCCTTATACCCTTTTATTACCTCCGATATGAAATCGGTAGCTATCGCGTGGCTACGTCCTTCACAAACTAACCCAGCCTATCACTTGTGAGGAGCTACCGGGTCAGGGTGAATTCACTCACTTATGTAATCCAGTTTTCCTTAATACTAACAACCATGATGTGTCATACCCATAATCTAGCATCTTCATAAATCGGTGGAGACTAGTTAGGTTTGAGTCCCTCATAGAACAAGTAGGACAGTCCTAAATCAACCATAAGATAAGGGCTACCTCTTGATTCTAACGGTTGGTGCCAAGGCAAGTTCTTGATTCCAACGGTTATTGACAGTACCACATAGATTTAAACCAATCTACTCCTCTCTCTAGACGAACTCTCGCCAATGATAATGCTATGCATATTTTACTTAGTATGCGTTTTAAAAAATTAATTCATGGCACATAAACTCATACACTCAAATACTTCATAAACTCAACACATTTCTCATCACAATTCTCTACCTACAATAACAAACCAAAATCAATTTCACAATTAATAAAAGGTGGTAAAATTAAGGTTTTTCTTTCCAAAACCATTTCGTAAGTAAACACATTGCCAATATGTATTATAAATTTAAATCATAAATTACATTTCACAAACATAATTAACATTCAA